TTGTGAAAACAGGTGTTTTTGAATTCATCCAATTTGAGGGTCCATGTGATTTTTTTCGAGAGGGTATGTGACAGTATCTCATATAGGTTTCGGCACACAGGCACATAGCACACAAACCCACACGGACACGTCTCCTCAGAGTTAGCGACTAAAATTGGCAAGAAAAGAACACAATTAGATTAATTATTCGTGATCATTTTGTTGGCAGCATTGTCAAAGTCTCATGAGGTCTGCACAATTTAAGGAATTCATCGTTTCAAGGATTTTAAGATGGGCAGCCTAGGCAGCCCACATCCGCAACTTTGTTCCAGCATGCAGTGCACAGATTCAGCGATGGCCACGAGTCAGAGACCTTCACATGATCCGATCGTCCACTCGTCTCAAATGATCTTCAGTTGTTGGTGTTGGCTCGGCCATCGAATCCAGCTGCGGCGCTCGGACGTCCTTTTCACTTTTTTTTGAAGTCGTGAAGCTACGTGTCACGTTTGATCCCACTGGGGTGAAACATGGTTTTCGTTTGGATGCTTGGTCAAGGAGTGCATGAGAGGTGCAAGAGTCCTCAAGGTGTATTTGCAGTTCTTCTTTCCACCCCATGTGACTCATGAGTTGGTCCAGAGAGGCAGCTTGTAGCGCAAACTTGCCGCCCAAAGCAGCTTGTTGCGCTCAGTTTCAAGGCATGGAACAAATGTTCAGCCTGGCGCGGACAATTGCCACGTCAGGCACGCCGTTTCGCCTTAAAAGCACAGAAAAAGCACGTTGTCAAGTCTAGGCACTCGCTATTTGCTGGACCTTCGGTTTTGGCATGTTGTGTGCATACGTGGACATACCCGGATGCAACGCATATATGACGCATCAAAAATGACATGCTGCCATGTCAGTGACCACAAAGGACTAAGTTGCCAGCTACGGTCTGAAGCTTTGCAGCCATCTTCCGCATCAGACCACGAATTCGTCGAGTCTGGAAGGGTCTTTCGGAAATGGCCCAGATCGATGTGCCCATGGGTGAGAAGATCTTCAATGCGTGGCAGTCTTGGCCAGGGACAGCCAAATGGTGCGTGGCTTTCACAGTAGCTCAGATCGCGGCCTGTGTGACTGCCCACCAGTCTTATGAAATCGGGCCCATGTACAAATCGGTCAAGGAGGATGAAATGGCATTTTGGCGCTAGGTTCGGAAATGTTTTTGATGTAAAGACCCTCCATGACATGACATGGGTTATCCCAGTGAACTAGCAGCTTTGACTAGGGATTCTTCATCAACAGCGCGCCTGGCCCAGGCAGTCTTCACCATGACGCGAAATGCTTTGATCATACCGATGGCTTTGTTCACCTTGATTGCGATGTACCAGGTGGCTGAGATGTGTTCCCCCAAACCACGACACCGGGTCCTGGTGATTTCCAGAGTGTCGATGTTTGAGTTCATGGTGAAGATGACCTACTACACGTTGCTGTCTCGAGGTTACGGCTTGGCCTTTGTGAATCAACGGAGCTTTGATCAGAGACCCATCTATGCCACTCGTTGGATTGGCTGGACGGTGGCAATCCCAACCATGCTCTTCATGAACCTTTATCCTCTCATGGATGACCGGAAAGCGAGTGATGCTTTGATCCGACTTCTGCCACAGCTTGCCAGCTCTGCCGCATACTGTTGGTCATGTGGTCTAGGCTGCATTCTGGATGATCCTGGGATGGGATGGTTCCTGAACTTCCTGGGCATTTTCGCATACCTGGTGATCATTGCAGATACGATTGCCTATGTTGGGGAGCACATCGGCACCACCTCCTCTCCAAGCCTGAAAGGTCTCAGCATCGCCCTGAAGGAGATCATGTTCGTCGTGTACACCGCGGTGTTCCTCTTCGGGAATTGGGGCCAGATCAGCTCCTATGCGTGCCAAGTCTTTTACGGCATCACTGACCTCAGCCACCTAGCCGTGATGTGCACCTTGTTGTTCCTCTACTGGAACACGGATGCCTCCAAACAAGAGAGCAGCACAAAGATTGATTAAGGCAGCATTGTTTTGGCCACTGTACCCCTCAGGGAGGGAAGTCTGTGGCGATTCCTCGCGTTCCGGCTGCCTTGTCAAAGGCCCTTGTTTCAAGCACAGCACACCTCTGACTGCAACCTGTGCAGTGTGAACCTTCTAATTCAGCTTTTTCAACGTTTCAAGTTTCAAGCACAGGCCCCGAGGACGCGATCGAGGCTTGCGGCAGTTTAGGCAGGTTAACTTGGAAAATCTCTGAAAGGCAGAAAAGTGAAATCGACCGGCCGACGTCTATGATTTGTTTGGACTTCTTGGACACGGGAATTCATGAAACCAGCTTGAATGCGTTCTGATTCAACGCGCAGAGACACAGGACACAAGCAGAGCGATCATGTCGATTTGCGGCTCAAACATCCTCGTCCGAGACTCAGCCGCTGTGTCTATCAGACCATATCAGACCTGAATATAAATCTATCAAAACACTCCATTGTATGGAACAAATACATGCATTGACCCCTGAAACCACTCCATTGTAGGTGTGTGTATATAACGATATATGCCATACATGGAGTACTACATGGAGTGTTTGGGATGTTTGGGTATGTTTAGTTCATCAACTCACACTCGTCGGCTTCTTGAACATTCGGTGTTGATAGATGTTGATAGGCGCTTTGGTCCTCAGAAACTCGAAGAGCTTGTCAACCCAAAGAGCCTGTTGCGCCAAGCCCGAGCCCTAAGAAACATTGTTTCTATATTGCAACATGTCGTAATGTTACAAAACATTTGGATCCATTCGATTTGTTTATGCTCCTATATTCAATATACTTAACATGTATACAAACCAACTGGATCCATTCGATTATTTTTCCTTTCCTATATTTTAATATACTTAAGACACACACACATATATATATATATATACACATACAAACCATTCCTAGTATTTTGCTTTACACGGTCCGAGTTCCGAGTTCCTCTTCCATTCGACCGGAGAACGGAAGAGCTGCGATCCTCTCAGGTGAGCGGCACCTGAGCTCAGTGCCGGGGCGCCTCAGCTGTCCGAACGCCGTTTGGTCGGCTCCGTGAGGGACCCAGGGAGCGGCCGTGGTGAGGAGCCGGTGGTTGTGTTGGAGCCGGAAGCGCTCGATGTCGCAGTGAGAAACACCTGTGACATCCTGTGACACCTTGTGACACATCGAGTTTTAGGCTGCCTGGACTGGGGCTGAGAGAAGGAGAGGCTGAGGAACACCCTCGAACATCCAACAGAACACCACCAAACTGAAAACAGGCACGTCACCTGACTGTCATCGGACTCCCAGAGACAACGCTTGGGTCGTTCGGAGGTCGTGGCGAGGACGGAGCGGCTGGTCCCGAGGCGGCATGGGACGCGGCGACGCTGGCCGCCGGCACATGACTTCGGGTGGGCATGTTTAGTTCCGCACTGTGAGCTCATAGTTCACCACCAGGGTATACTGTAATTACATGTACCTTACCTGAGCATGATGGCACCACCTGCCACCTAAACGACTTCTTTCTTGAAACCATGAGATCCTTCGAACCGCACTGGGATGCTTCTCGGGCCGCTCTCGGATCACGCGGAGCCCGGTCCCGGTCCATATGAAAGCGTAAGGATGGTAGAGGGAAACTGAGAGGTCAGTTGATAGTCAGATAGTCCCACAGCTCCGGCGAGAGAGAGAGGAAGAGAATGAGTGAGTGAGTGACTGAGTTCTGAGTAAGTGAGTGAGAGAGAGAGAGAGACAGAGAGTTGCTGGCTGCTTTTGGTTGCGCAAGCTCCTTGTTGCGGTTAGCACGGACGGGTTTGCCTTGTTCTTCTGATATCGTTGTGTCCCGCCCATCAAGAATTACAGATGGACTTTGCAGGGTATTCATTTTGGAATATTTTTTGATTTCCTCAGATTTCATCATGTTGTGACAAGGTCATCATTGGTTTTGATCTGCTGCCGGCTGCCCTGCCTAGCTTGCCAAATCCGGCATTGCAGGCATGCAGTGTGCTCGTGTTCGCATGTGCGTGCATCGCATGTGGATTAGGTAGATTGTTTGATTTCAAGCAGTTGTGACTTGAGAGGCACGCTTCTGAAACACTTTTGCCACCGGATCACCATTTCCTGCCTGCACACCGGATCGAGTGCTGCACGTCGCATCCGTGGGGACCTTCCATCCGCACCGACCTCAGTCCGCGCCATGCCGGAGATCACCAAGTCGGTGCAGTTCGAAAACATTGCCCGCGAGTGGCGCTGCAAGTGGTCTGCCGACAAGGACATGGTTCAAAGAGCCGTTCCTATAGGGTGTGGGGCGTCTTTCAGACTAAGTGCTCACAAAGTTCTTTTAACAAAAGTAGGGAACGGTGATGATTCAACACACTTATTGAGACAAAAATACTTGATATATGTGCCTGGAAGTGAGGGGAGCTACGCCGCCTTCCCAGGACAAGGCCTCCCTGGAAGCAGCACAGGAACTCTTGAAATCGGTAATAGCAGATGTGAAGGCGGTGGCTGGGGTCAAGAGCGTGCAGCGCGTGGTCTGTGGTGGATGCCTTGACTTCAAGGTGGGTCAGTCATGGTGTGTTTGGAAACAGCCACGCTTTGACTTGCTGTTGAATCTGAATATGGTGAGTATATAGTGGTGAGTATAGATGTGTTTTGCATACCTCAAGTCCACGCTCAAAGGCCATCAGGGGACCTTGACACCCTCACCATACTCGTTTTAAATTACATACTGTAAGGAGTGGGGGAAGCCGTCGCAGTGCACTGCCAGGGCTCCGGTTCTCTTGTTGCTCAGGTGGTGGTCAAAGTTGCAGCCGACCAGTTCGGAGATTGGGAGAAGGCCAAGTTTGCCCCGGAAGAAAGCTTTCTTGAGAAGCTCAAGGCCATCGAGGGGATCTCCATCGTCGAGACCCAGACCTATACTCTGGAAGAGATGTGAGGCGAGCAATTTTGAGATGATTGGGATGTAGCTGACAGAATGTTACAGACCCATTACAGGACGACAGAATGTGAGTACAGCATTTTCCAGGATGGCTTTTGCTGGCTACAACGGTCAGCAAAGCTGAATCTGGAGCTGAGGCTACGCAGATTATAGCCGGAAAAGCTTGGGCTGCCTGGCTCACATTCTTGCATGGTGTAGGGAAATGCCCATAAAGTCAAGTGCACCTTATATATATATGGTATAGTTGGTTTGAAACCTCGGTCGTCCATTGTGACTTGGCAACTGTGTCAATCTGCCAGAAGCGAGCAGAAGAAAAGAGGAAGGAGAAGAAGGCTGGGTATAGTTGGGTCGGAGGAGTGCTGGTTTGGATAGATGGGTGGCTTGCTTGGCATGGTTGAACCGGTCAATTTGCTCATTTTGTTGAAGAACTCATCACTGGCTAATGGTGCTTGGCTGGGATAGGTGCTGCCTTACACTCGGGCTGTTTCCAGAACGAGAGCCAACAATGTTACCACGGTCAGGCACCTCATCCAACTGGAGATGACTAGTGACTGCACAAGGCCGTTGGGTCGCTGAAGATGGATGTGGCAAACCGTTGTGTTTTGTATTGTTTTGTTTTGGGTTGCCGAACCAAAGATAGATCCACCATGGAGCCTGGCGGAGGTTATCGATTTTTACTTTTTGGGGTGTGTGTGTGTGTGTCAAACGCATCGGCGCATATTGGCGCTACTTATTGCTACTTTGGGCTGGACCTTTCTTGGCTTGAATTTTTAGACCTGCTCACCCCAACTGCCGCCGCTTCGAAAGGGGTCTCCTCGGCACCTAATTCGCTTCGCCGCTTGGGGAAGGAAGGCGACTCGCCAGGAATTCGTGGACTCCCCGGAGCACCGACCGGTTTTGACGACCTGGCAAGGATGGCCTGCAGCCGCTAGTGTGGCTATGTGCAGCCATCCAACTTTTGAGGATGTGATGGAAGGTAGGATGGAGGATTCAGTGCAAGATGAGTGTGAGGCTATGTCTCAGCATAAGGCTTTGGCAAGAGAAAGTCTCATGTCACTTAGGGTGTTTGTTGCCTTCAGCTTTGAGCCAAGTTTGTGAAATGTGCAAGGACCAACCTCACGAACATCGAACAACTGCATGGATTGAGTTTGAACAAAGAAGATCGTGCATCATTTTCGCTCTTGCAGCAGGACATGTCACTTGATGTCACTTCACTTAATAAATCTTAATAACAAACGAGTTGGATCTTGGAATGTCGGCAAAACGCGTTGTTCGACGCATCGCCGCAGGTCACGTGTTCGTTCTCGGACTTGAATCGGAGCTCTTCCCACCTCTTGAGGCCGGCAGAATGAAAACACAAGTAAAGAAACCAAGTGCTGAATAGAACTCTTGGAGTTACAATACTTTTCTTGGAATCGGATGAATTTACAACTTCTTGGACCCTTGGAAGCCTTAGATGTAGATGATTGCAGGATATTTTAGGTGCTTTTTTTAAGGCGGAACACTTGTCAGAGCAGGCACAAGGGCATGGGTAAATGTGCCAAGGACCGGCTCCGGTAGATTCTGCACGTATAGGAGACTTGTGTAAATAAGACATGATAGAAGACACCGACTTCATTTTGTTGATGTTAGGTAGCTACCATCAGGGACATCACCCCCTGCATATCCGGCATAGCAAGCGCCATGTGGCATCATGTTGTGCATCAAGCGCATTAGGCTGCTCAAGTGGATCATTTAAGACCTGATGACTCATGACTGATGACCCATAGACTTCACACCATGGGTCATGGGTCTTAAACGTTTTAAGACATGTCGTGTCCAATGTATGACGAGTTTATGCTGTCATTTGATGACGATTGTCCCGGAGACATTCCGATGTTGAGCCCAAAGCTGCCGAACGGATGCTAGCTGCCAGGCCAGGCTGCACGTGGGGACCTGAGGGGGTTGAAGAGGGGGCTTGTGGCTAAGCATATGTTTCTCGAGTGTATGACGGTGGATTTGGGTATGATTGAACGCTTTCCGGCATCTGGATTCAAGGACAATGGTAGGTTTGCTTTGTGCCGTTTGTTGTATCATTTTTGGTTCCATCATTTTTTCCAAGTAGGAGGGAGATGTGATGTGACGTGACAGGCTTGTAGAGGGTCGCATGGTTTGGTTGGCAAATTTCAATGTTACACAACTGCAAATCCGTTAGCAGCTAGCAGTTGCATTTCGCGTGATGAAAATTGCAGCGCCTCGCGTTACGCGAGCTTGCGACGCTTGTAGTTATATGCGCTTTGCTTGGGAGTAATAACAATGACGGGACGATGTCATGAATGCATGAGTGTTCGATTCGGTCTCACCGACTGAGGTTGATGCACTGCAATATGTTCTCAGTGGTTACCCACCAGGCATGCCAGGTACCAGTTCTTCAATCAAGGGAGTTTCAGAACACTGAATTGAATCAGATTGATGATGTTGGAAAGGACCCTCCACTGTGTTGCTGAGGGGCGTTGGACTGGTGTTGTTCGCATTTAATGTAGCTGATTGACTTCCGATTCACCTCGATGTGGGACTGTTGCAGTCACAGATTGCTCATCAGCATACTGTCATAGGGATTTGGGGATCACTTACTGCGCTTCATGTTCAACAGTGCCCAGCCATTGAGTATGGGCTGGCGGGCTCCAAAAGAGGAGGATTTCATTGGACATACTGTATTTATCCCCATGATTGTACCAGGTCGCACCGCTTTTGAAGCCAATTGTTTCAGGCTGACGGACCAGACCAACTTCAAGTTGGTTCTTCAGATAGTCCTTATAGAGGCCAAAAAACATAGGACCGGACTGCTTCCTGGAAACAATAGCTTTTCTTAGCAAACTGACATGGAACTTCGTGGGGTGTACTGACTTCCAATGAACAACATCAGGCTGCGGTCAACATGCAAGGGGAGGGCGCTTCATGGGTTCATGGGTTCTTTCATGGATGAATATATGTAGGAGTTTGGGGTGGTTATTTGGGTTGATTGGTTGCGTTGTTTTTCTCTTTTACCAGTTCGCTCCAAGCAGCACCACAGATACCACAAGGGACCTCGAGAGAGATTTCGGACACCGGGAAACTGCTGAACCATCGCAGGAGAACTGCAGAGCAGTCGAAGCTAGCACCACTCAGCGCCACAGAGGAGGCCATGATTTTTCTGATGAAGTTCGTTAGAAGGATGGGCTATATACCAAGGACTGATCGTGAGCCATTCGATATATTTCAACTAATGAACAACGGTAAAATGCCTGTCATCTATGTTCCTTTGATTGGGAAGGCTCGAGGTTGCATCCCTATACATCCCTAGCCCTATACTTAAGGACGCCGAGCGGCACTTGAACGTTCTGTAGGTGGTCATTGGCCTGGCGAAGCATCTTATCATCTTGTCCAAAAAAGTGCTCTGACTGCACAACTACTGGGGTCGAGGCCCTGCTGAATTTACAATGGCTTGCGCGTGTGTTTTTGGGAAAGTCGGGTGGTAGACACCGCTCTACATTGACACGCTGCATGGATTTTGCTGCATACTGTGGTCGAAACATGTTTTTGAAGGCTACTAACTTGTTCCTTTTGTGTGAAGCTTGTGGCCTGCAGCCTGCCTGTTTTACTTTTACTTTGGATGATTTTTGCGTAAGCACTTTAGGCAAGAGGATGTGCTTTCTGTTGTCTCAAGCCCGGGACCGATGTCAATGGAGTGGAAATGGATGAATCAATTTAGCTGTCGCATCGATGACAGGCCAAGAACGTGTTGGAATTGCAATTAGCAAGCAATGGGAACAACAGAACCACACTGGAGACAGGCTGCAGGCAAGCTCTTACACTTCACGACAAGCATCAATATATAGAGCACGTGCATTTTTGCGTGCGTCGGCTCTTTGACTACATCTTCCGATGTTGGACCGGACCGACAAGGAATGGCAAGGCAAATTGATGAAAGCCCTCTCCGAGATGACGTGCCCGACGACGGTGCGGGGAGCTTTGCAAGACTTCGAGGTGCTCGGCATCGATGTGGCGGAGGCTCAAAGGAAGTTGACGCAAGTCAGAGAGCAGTGGACGAAGAACAAGAAGCTGTTGAAGTTGGGGCTCGCAGAGGCAGGGTTCGTGTTTTTGTTGTGGTCATAGCTTACGGAGTGATTGAACTCACGGATAGGTAGTACAAGCACATGCAGCATAGTGCAAAGTTGTTTGTAAAACATTTAGATCCTTGTATATATACTGTAGACTATCGTAGCTGTGTGACGATTCAGCTGCCCTGGAAAGCCTCTCACTGATTACGCATGAGGGAATAAAACGCAAGCAAGCCCCGTGCTTTTGTGCATCACAAGCCGAGCCTGACCGAAAGGACTTCATGGAATTTGCCTTGGGAATTCATGCCTACACGCTCGCAGAACCATCCATCTACGATGCGGTGAACGCCATCCTCAACGACACCACGGAGAGGAACACTACAGCATCCCCCAAAGTTGTTGCAGCGTTGAGGTTCACCAAATTCATTGATGAGGCTTTGAAGCAACTACCTTCTTACAAGCCACCAGAGGGCCAGCCCTATGTTTATAGAGGCATCGCGTACGTGCATCAGGACTTCAAAGCCCGCTTTGCTGATGGAACAGTCTTTCCATGGTACACCCTCAAATCGGCAACCACAAAGGTCGAGGTTTTAGAGAAGTTCTGCGGTCGCGAAGGTCCTCGAACCGTCTTCGAAATCATAGTCAAAGAAGACAGCTCCAGCGTGAAGGACATATCGATGTTCTCGGCATTTCCTGAGGAAAAGGAAGTCCTGGCGCCACCCTCCACTATGTTCAAAGTGACTGGCCAGCTCCGACGGGATCCAGAGAAACAACGGGGTCGTCCATTGGAAACCGCTGATGTGGTGAAGCTGGAGGAAATTGATGGGCCTGAAAAGCAACAAAGCCTCCCGGTGAAGGGCTGGGTTTTGTGTCTAGCTGGCCGGCTTCAGTGGACATTCTGCCTTTGCAAAGGTCAGGAGGCCGTGACAGCCTTGGAGTTGAATCCAACTATTGTGGGGGCTTGGCACACATTGGGTGTGGAGGGCGGTGGCTCCGTGGGAGGTGTGGACTACGACAAGAAGACGTGCTATGTGAAAGCCTT